GCAGTGCTCCTGGAACCCAGGGTGCAGAAGCAAGCAGTGCTGCCGAACAGCGTACAATGCCCACTTCTGCAAAGTATTGTCTGGTCCAAAATGCTAATAGTGTTGCCAGATAAAACACTGAACAGCAGTTACATTTAAATTTCAGTTAAATAACATATACTTTTCTTAGTATGAAAAGATCCAGATACTTAGACAAATATCCTCCATAAAAAAATTGGGAACATATTTAACCAAGATTCATTTTTTTTTCATTTGTTAACTCTTGTGAGCTATAAATTACCTCATTTGCTCTTTACAAAAACTCCATGAATTGAAGGTACATAAAATAATGCTATTTATAGTTTACAAAATGAGACTCAGAAAGATTAACTTCTTTGTTCATGGCTATGGAGCTGGAAAGTGGAAGAAACAAGGGTTAGGGTGCAGGGATATCAGAATTCATTGACCAATGACATTTCACCATACTCTTACGGCCCTTAATTTATGGACACAGAAATTTGGCATAAAGACATGGGTTATGATTAAAGAGAAGTTAACAACTAAGAACAGACAGAAAATCATTGAACTTTACTTGTGTTATAAGCGGTCTTTGGAGCCATCGTATCCTTTCATGTCTATAGAGGCATTCCTAGTTCTGGGGTGCAGGGTACATGACCTGTCTAAAAAACTCATCTTATAATTGTTCTCTTAATTGTTTTGGTGCTTTGATGCTAAAACAAAGACTGAGGACAGGGATAAGCATTATTTTAAAGTCTTTTTATACCCCTTTTTATTAAAACTGCAACTGGAGATAAAGTACGACATAGAATTTATGTTCTACAATAAATAGAACATGTGAGTGGAGGAGATGAGTAATAGACATTGTTTCATGTGCCCTCATTGGGGAAACGGCCTGTTAAAACTGGCTGAAAAGTCACTTAGGTCTGTCTTCTTCCAACATGCAAAAGAGCGTCTGGAAGATAAGAGGCTCTAGTTTAGCTGATGTCAGGAGCAGAAAGACTGTGCAGGTGCTTTTTGGAGTCTTTCTATGTCTGTGGTGGCTAGCTAACTGCCCTCCTAAGCTGAGACGAGGTACCAATGAACTTGGGAATACAATAAATTTGACTGATTTAATTTGCTGTCTAGAAATGTCCTGGGTCAATTCTTAATTACGCTACTTAATTTTCCCCTATTATTGAGATATAATTGACATACCATATTGTGTACGCCTAGGATGTACACATAAGGATTTCATATATGTGTATATTGTGAAATAATTACCACAATAAATTTAGTTAACATCCATCACTTCATATAGTTATCTCTCTCTCTTTTTTCTTTTTTGGTAAGAACATTTGAGATCTATTCTCAGCAACTTTCAAGCATCCAATACAGTACTGTTAGCTGTAGTCACCATGTAGTACATTAAATCCCCAGATCTCTTTTGTCTTATAACTGGAAGTTTGTTTCTTTTGACCAGCATCTCCTCATTTCCCCCACCACCGAAGCCCTAGCAACTAACAATCTACTCTCTATTTCTTTGAATTCAGTATTTTTAGATTTCACATATAAGTGAGATCATACATTATTTGTATTCTCTGTCTGAATTATTTATATCATATAAATAATATAATATTATATTATTATATATATTATATATAAAATCACATTTTTAAATCCATTTAACTATTGATGGACATGTAGGTTGTTTCCATGTGTGGCTATTGGGAATAATGCTGCAGTAAATTGGTGGTGCAGAAATCTTTTTGAGATAGTGATTTCCTTTCCTTCAAATGTATATCCAGAAATGAGATTGTTAAATCACATGGTAGTTCTATTTATTTTATTTTATTTTTTTTGAGAAACCTCCATGCTGTGTTCTAGAGTGGCTGTACCAATTTACATTCCCATTAACAGGGTACAAGAGTTTTCTTTTCTCTACATGTTGGCTCTTCTCAACATATTATCTCTTGTCATTTTGATAATAGCCATTCTAAAAGATGTGAGGCGATATCTCATTGGGGTTTTTATTTGCATTTATCTGATGATTCATGTTATTAAGGACCTTTTCATGTTCCTATCAGCCTTTTATAGATCATCCTTGGAAAAATTGTCTATTCAGGTCTTTTGCCTATTTTTAAATTATATTATTTGTTCTTTTGCTATTGAATTGTATGAGTTTCTTTTATTTTTTGGCTATTAACCCCTTTAGTTAATATCCAAATGGATTAATTAACCTAAAGGGATAGTTAACTAAATATTAACTATTTAAATGGATTAATTAATAAAAAGTCTCAAGTAGCCAAAACAATCTTGAGAAAGAACAAAGCTGGAGGGATCACATTTTCTGATTTCAAACTTTATTTCAAAGGTATAATAAAAGCTGTATGACATTGGCATAAAAACAGACATAAATCAGTGAAATAGAAACAAGAACACAGACATGTGTCATCAACTAGCATTTGAAAGGGGAGCCAAGAATACTCAACAAGAGAGGATGTTCTCTGCAATAAATAGTGTAGGAACACGTCATTGTGATAGAGGATTATGTGACCAAAAACAGCTCCAGGAAGGTTTGGGAACTTGCTTCAGGGTGGGGAAGGGTTGAAGGTACATAAAACACTCATTCTGCTGTATAGGAAATTTTCCTGTCTGTGCAGGAAAGTGTTTCCTCTTTCAGTACATGGGAAGACTCAGCCAGCCAAGGCTGACACGCAATTCACTAAATACAAAAGGAATTTTTTAGCCTCTTAGTCCCTGGCCTTATTGGAAAAAAAAAAAAAAAAGTCCTCCAGGTTTGTTAGGGTTTCTATTCTTGCAACTTGCAGTATCAAAACCGGTTCTTGAAATTGTAAAACATTGCCAGAATAATGCTATTCCCCCTTCCAAGAAAAAAAAATGACAGAGTTCATATTAGACACTTGTGAATAAAATAGAAAGGGTCTGGGGTCATCCTTGATGAGCTTTGTTTTTCACGTCATAGTTTATGAATTGTAGTTGCGGCTTCTCATTTAATTACCATAACTGGGCAGAATTGTTTTTTTAAATATCAGAAAAGTTCAAAAAAAATACAAATGGTTAAGTAAAAATAAATAAATAAATACATAGTGTAGGGAAAACTAGATATTCACATGCAAAAGAATGAAATTGAATTCTTATATTATACCACTCACAAAAAGAATCTCAAAATGGATTAGATTTACATGTAAGACCTGAAACTATAAAACTCCTAGAAGAAAACATAGGGAACAAACTCCTTACCCTTCATTTCAGCAATAACATTTTAGATATGACATTGTAATTGAGGGAGAGAACTTTCCCCTTCTACCCTTCTTTAATTATTATGGCTAGATTAATAAAGTTGGCACAAAACTAGATTAACAAAAGAAAAAAATTGTTGAATACAGGTGCATAGGAGAATCACAATATGATGATCATATCATAAAATGAGGTTCAAAGAAATGTTCAAATTAGACACTTTTTAGACAAAGAAACAGTAAATTTGTGAGAAATTGACAGGACAAAGAAAGTTAGTGCTCATGAGAAGGGATTCTGCACAAGGATTTGATTTAGGTAGTAAACAGTAAAGGCCTTACTAGGTTTATTTATACAGCCATTTTTGACTCTGGATTTAATGACTCTTTAACAAGGTTTTCTCTCAGCCCTCAGGGACAGGGAATGCGGCTCTCACATGCAGAGTTATTTCCTGCTTTGGAGAGACAGATCAGTTAAAGAGCTCCTCTGACTCCTGCTGCTTTTCAAGTTATTTTAATTCAAAATTATCAATATGACATTGAAGGATATCTTGAGGCAGTCTGCTCCAACAACACCAAAAGCATGTGCACAAAGGCAAAAATAATCAAGTGAGAGTATGTCAAACTAAAAAACTGCAGTGCTGCAAAGGAGACTCCAAAATAAAAAGGTAATCTATAGAATCTTACCTCATTCTTTCATAGGAACGTATCCTGAGACATGATATCAGGGTCTTATTTAAAAAAAAAATAGCGCATGTATATACACATACAGCCATTCACATGTGCAATGAAATAGTTATGTCTCAAGATGTGAACACACCCTTGTCCAACAGGAAAATCCTGATTGTTCTGAATATTTCTTTACTTTTTCCTGACTCCCTAAGAAGAGAGCCACGGAGGCCATGGCTGGTAATATTTTGTTTTGTTTTATCAGGTTGTATTAATACAAATGTCCTGGGGGTCTGCAGAACTGAGCGTCCGTGACCCCACTGTGGGTTCTGGGCTTCCAGCAGGAGAGAATTCAAACACAAGACAGCACAGAGTTTACAGTGAAAGTAAGTTTATTAGTGAAGCAGTGAGACAGAGAATGAGCTACTCTACAGCCAGAGAAACTCCCATTTACTGGAAATTTCTACTTTTACTGAGGTTCATTTAATCAAGGGGTAGAATATTCAATTGGAGGAATATTCAGGACCTTCTTAAGGAAATGGGTGATTTCTCAGAGGAGCTCCATTAGCTATATTGTGCCCTTATATGTTTTCTCTATTTCTGACCAGGGTGGCAGGCTGTGTTGTTTAGCTTGATAACATATTACAGTGAGTGTATGTTGAAGCTAGGGGTTACCCTAAGGTGAAATTAATCCTCATGTTGGATTGAGCTGGTCTGTGTGGGTTTTAAGCCATAAATCCGGCAGGGGGTGGGGGAGAGTTTGGTATTCTTGACAGATACTGTAGCTTTTATTGATTGCAGCTGTTCTGCCACACACCCTAACTCAGTATCTTTAGGAGATATGTTTGGGGGACGAAATTGACTCATTTTTTTTATTGTATTCTATATAGTTTGTGTGAGCAATAGTTAGTTAGAAAAGAAGGAAGAAACCTTCATCCCTGATTAATATTCTTTCAGGTTTTGTGGTAGGATCTATAAGTGAGGTTTTTTTGTTGATTTTTTTTGTTTTTTGTTTTGGTGTTTCAGCCAGAAAAGTAAACACTGGGAAGGTGTGGCCTTATTTTCTGAAAGTTTGTGTGTATGTATTTTTCCTGAATACCTAAATATCCAAACACGATTGAAGTTCAGAATCTGCATGACAAGATCAACATGGGCTATTTTTCCTAAATAAGAGAAATAAAGATGACATGTATGTGACCATTATTGATTCTGTTTTCCATGAACGTAATCATCAAAGCAATAGCACACATGAAACTCCTTGACTTCTGCCTGTAACTCACCAAAGCAAAACAAGGAGAACAGCTTGGAAAGGCACAGCTTTGTTTTGACTTTACTGGGATTGGGCATCCATGGGCTTATAAAGAAAGTAAGTGATCTTAGATAAAGCAAATAATCCACTTTTTGAAATATTCAACCTATAATATGGGAAAATAGAAAAAAAGAATATCTTAGTTATTGAGGTAACAGTAATGTTTCTTAAGTCGTTTATAAGTCTCAGCCTTTCTGTGTTTCCAACAGATAAGATACTAACTGAAAAAAGAAAAATATTTGTTAATTCAGTATCTGAAGACACACTTAATAATTTGCTGGATGATGTCCTAAATGAAAAGGTGCTAAACCAAGAGGAGAGCGAAAAAGTAAAAAAGGGAAATGTTACAACTATAGCCAAGGCCCGTGACTTGATTGACTTTGTGGTTCCCAAAGGGCCTCATGCCAGCCAATTATTCATAGGCTATATCTGCAAGAGAGATTCCATTCTTGCTTCCAAGTTGGGATTTTCTTCAGGTAAGATTCCTCTGTTTTGTTTAAGGTGTGTCTCAATTTGCCCTTGTATTTTAGCACTCAATATCTGCTTTCTTATTCACGTTGCAGATAATAGATAATTCATCAGCTCTTAACCTCATATTTCTTTACCCGTAGGCTTCCATTTATTTTCTACAGATGAAACTGACCCATTTTTTCTGATCTTTACTTTGTCCCTGCAAAATCCTCCCAGGACTCTGCTTCATGTCTAGACTATATCTTACTCTTAGTTTGAAGTATCTTTCTATTACAGAATAGTAATTTAGTCCTACAGAAATAGTTTGGAAAACTTTATTCTAATCTTTCTAAGTCAATAAAAGATAAAAACCTTTATTTTGGCCAATGACAGTTTGCCCATGTAGTTTATAAAGGTGTTTGAGGAAAAATTAAAAGCAGTTTTTGTAGCCCTTGTCTCTACTTACTTGATTTAGACATCTTTTTAAGCCATTTCTCTGACCACATGTCCCATTCTCCACCTAAAATACAATATATAAATTATTTTTCCCAATAATTATAGAACTAACTTGTCATCTCTTCTACAAAAGTAAAGGATCATTGTTTTCCCTATTTTTTTAACATCCAGATATCCTCCAAATATTTCTCATAATCTTCACTGTGCAAAATCCAAATGTTTTTCTTTAGAAAAGATAATAAATAGTAATGGCAATAATGAAGGTAACAAGGTACAAAATAGAATACTCAATAAAATATATTTCTATAACTTGAAAAAATTCACCCTCACATATTACTAGGGCCAAAGCTCACAATGTCTAATTTGGCACTTATACTAGCTCTCTAATCTAGCTTCTATCCCACTTTGCATTGCTCTCCATGTTACATTGGGTTCCTCCTAGTAGAACACACTCATTCTCTTTTCAAAGGCCTTATGTTAAGTTGGTACTAGGGCCCAGACTCAGTCTATAAAACAACTTAGGTCAAAATTGAACCTGAATTTTTTTAATTTATCAGTTCATTAATTTATTCATATTTGACAACAAAAACTTTAAGTAACTACTGCCAATTATTCTTTTTCATCTTGGGCATTTATAACTTTAAAATAAGAATCATATAGATTTGACTCAAGTGAGGAGGAGGACGTGACAATTAGAAGTAAGAAATACTTAACACATTTGCAGATATTGATGAAAACTATAAAGAAAAACAAAAGATGACAATGGGATAGGTTAGAATAGATGATTACTACAATACTATCTGTATTAGCTGGCCTGTTAAGGTTATGCTAATGATATGAATGACAAAAGCCAACTTATATAAGCCTAGGGAAAGGAAACCACGAATAAAGAGGACAATAAGCACAAAGGACTCAAGTAGCAACAGGGATAGGGTGTTTGAGAAACACAGAATTTGTAGCTGTTGTAAGCAAGAATAGAATGAAGCTAAAGTTTAGACAGTGACTTGATCATATAGATTTCAAATGACATGTTAAAGTCACATGGACATTATTTTAAATGTGAAGAGAAGCCATTGCAGTGTTTCATTCAGTGTGGTATAACTTCCCAGAAGGCAAAGTTACTTGTGAGGACAAAGAAATCTCTGGCATTTTAAGTATCTCCTCAGAGAAGGGATTGTAAGTTGTCTGATGACGTCTACAATTATGATTTAAGTTTTATTCTTGAGGAATTTACATTGGTGTTTTTGCAGAATTTTTGTTCTTGAAAATGTTGAACTAATGTAGAAAGTATGATGCATAAGCTTCAGAACTAAAGAAAGAGAAAAAATCCTATGTACCCTTCTAAAAAACTATTCTGGTCACTATTAGGGCAATGGAATGGCGTAGGATAAGAGCAGGTGTGAAAAGATAACTTTCAGACTATTTTAATGAGCCATATGGGAGAATATTGGTGCTAGGAATGTGAAGGGATCAGTGGGAAGCTGAGAACTGATGCACAGGATATATGTTGGTTTTAGAGTTTCAGAATATGCTGATGGAATGGATCAGGGGATGGAATGGGTAGAGCGTGCGGGAAATAGTGGAATCAAGAAAAACCTCTGGGCTTACAGCTTAGATAAATGAATGAATAGTGGTGCCAATAATTAAAAAACAGAAATATGAGAGAAAATCAGTGAGGAGTACCTTATTAGATCTCTTTCCTTTTAGTCTTTACTAGATAGTCACATGCATGCATTTCTGCATCTTGGGTAAAACTCCTAATTAGATAACTTTCCTCACAAAGGAGCTGTCTCTCTTGCTTGACTATAATTCATCTCTGTTAACAAAATGTTGGAAAAAACTATAACCCTTACAAGCTAAGATGTCTTCTTGAAAATTTTCTTCCATCTTCCAAGAAAATGAATGCCTTTCTCTGTAGTTGTTTCTAGGGTGATATAGGGTACAGGACCCAATAAGAGAGCCATTTACCAGATATCACAATTCTAATTACACCATGTGTTTAAAAACTCTTGCAGAAGCTCTATTACAATTCTTATTATAGCATGTGTATAAAACTTTTACAGACGCACCTGTTAGAAGGAGCGAGTCAGCATCCAAAGAATCCATAGACCAACTTGTGCTTTGTCCTCATGAAAAATTCCAGGAACTATGTCAAAAGAAAGCTGGAATGGTAAGACATTCAATGCATGGAATAGGGGTAAAAGGAAGTGGAAATATTCCTTACACAATGCCCCTTAGTGATGCCTTAAGCCATTAAATTATTAAATAATTTTAGATAGGTAATTTCATTCTATTAAGAGAATTAGGTAGGGAATAATGAGTTAATAATGTTCAATGTGTTTTTGAACCTACATGCTCTTTATATGGACATGTGGGTTTAATTTTAATCAACATAGACAAGTAGATAGAGAATATTTTTAATGTTGAAAAAATTTTAAATGGATCTTAAATATTAGATGTTTTGGTTAAATGGAAGAAAAAAGAGAAAGGAAGAGAGAAAATATTCTAGTATACTCCTCAAAACCATTGCATAAAATGTCTGTCTTGATCAACAATTTGGGATTTCACTCTTTTAATCATACACAAGTTAGAGTCCATTGTCCATATCCGAATGCTTTCCTTCAGAAACTCCATCTCCTATCAATTAGCAGAGAGTAGAGAATTAGCTCTGGCAAAAGTGAGTAGACAAACGATAGCTGTCATGTTCTTGAGAGAATAACTGGCTCTGCTGTAGATATGAGGAAAAAATTTGTGATGCATTTAACTTCTCTTTGTTCTGAAGATTTATCCAATAAGAGAGAAGAGGGGCCGTACTCGTCTGTCCCTCATCATCTGTAACACCAAGTTTGACCACCTCCCAAAGCGTAATGGATCCAGTCATGACATAATTGGAATGAAGGAGCTGCTTGAGGACCTGGGCTACAGTGTGCATGTGGAGGAGGATCTCACAGCCAGGGTAAGGCTCTCTTTCCTGTGTAGTACATATAAACCCACATGCCTATATTCCTCTAATGACTAGCGTTGTAATTTGGGGCCATCTGTTTACATTCTCTGAAATTTGCTTTTTAAATTTTAAAATAAAAAAGTTAAAGGTGGTATCTATAATTATCTATACTTCCTTTGAGTGATATATATATATATATATATATGCATATGCACACTCATATATATTTTAGCCACAATGCTGTCATTATTATTGTGGTTACTTTTATTATTTTTATTTATTTTAAAAATATTTTTAAATATTTTTATTTGAAATATCAATTTAATCATATATTACATTGTTTTTTATTTTTTTAAATTTATAAATCATGTTTATTCTATTACAGTTGTTTCAATTTTTACCCCTTTACCCCCTCCGCCATCCCCCCCCCACTCCCCACCCCCACAGTAAATTCCCACTCTGTTGTCCATGTCCATGGGCCATTCATACATGTTCTTTGTCTAGTCCCTTCCTTTTCTTTCCAACATTGTCCTCTTTCCCCATCCCCTCTGATCACTTTCAGTCTGCTCCATGTCTCCGTGCCTGTGGTTTATTTTATTCATTAGTTTATTTTGTTGAATAAAGTCCACTTAATAGGTGTGATCATATGGTATTTGTCTTTCGTCAACTGGCTTATTTCACTTAGCTTAATATTCTCCAGCTCCATTCATGTTGTCGCAAAAGGTAGGAGTCCCGTCTCTCTCTTTCTTTCTTTCTTTCTTAAATGCAGATTGATTTTATTTTTTTAAATGTCAAAGTTAATTATAAAATATTAAAAAAATTAAAACCATTATAAAGTCTCAGCAATTAAACCAACATGACACCAGCACAGAGACAATCAAGTAGGTCAATGAAATATAATAAGCATTCTAGAGACAAATGTATATATCTATCTAACAATATAATATATGATTAAGTTGATATTTCAAATCAATGGGTAAAATAAGGCTTATTCGACAAATAAGGTGCATGGACCACTATTATTTGAAATAAAACAAATATAGAGCCCTATTTCACACATTATACAAAACATATTCAGGTGAATTAAAAATGAATGTGTAGAATCTAAGGAGTTTTAGAAGAAAATAGAACTAATATTTTTCATGACCTGAAGTAAAATATTCAACCCCAAAAGGTATAAAGTAAATATTGACAATATGACTATATTAAACATTTAACTATATAGTAATATACGTATAAAAAAAGGTAAAGGACAAGGAATAGAATAGAAAAGTATTTTCAATTCATCTAAAACATGGTTAATAGGTTTTTTTGTTTTTTGTCTTTGTTTTTTTTTTAAGGAAAAAAGTTTTACAAACCTGTAATCAATATATGGATAAAGAATACCAAAAAGTCATTTAAAGCTTTTTCAAAAATATATATATATAAAGAGGCAAGAAATATACTAAAACAAGGTTAGTTTCAGCAAATAGTAAAGGAACAATTAAAATAACATCATTGTCATGATCAGATCAATATGTATTAAAAATATTGGTAATATCAAGTATTGGTGACTGTGAAACAAACTAGGTATGCATAAAAAGTTTTTCTTCATCTTTAAGCAGTTCCTTTAGCATATTTTGCAGGGCTGGTTTGGTGGAGGTGTATTCTTTTAGCCTTCTTTTGTCTGGGAAACTCCTTATTTCACCCTCCATTTTAATTGAGAGCCCTGCTGGGTAGAGCAGTCTTGGTTGCAGTCCTTTACTTTTCATGACTTGGAATATTTCTTATCATTCCCCTCTGGCTTGCAGTGATTCTGTTGAGAGGTCAGCTGCTAGCCATATTGGGGCTCCCTTATATGTTACTACCTCTTTCTCCCTTGCTGCCTTTAGGATTCTCTGTTTGTCTTTGATATTTGCCATTTTAATGATGATGTGTCTTGGAGTGGGCCTCTCTTGGTCCCTCTTGAGTGGGACCCTCTATGCTTCCTGGACTTGTTTGACTTTTTCTCTCCTCCAATTAGGAAAGTTTCCCATCATCACCTTTTCAAACAGGTTCTCTATCTGTACCCCATCCTCTTTTCCTTCTGGTATCTCTATTATATGGATATTATTACGTTTCAGGTTCTCCTGCATTTCCCTCAATGCCTCTTCATTCTTTCTGAGTCATTTTTTCCATTCTTGCTCTTTCTGGGATCTTTTTTCTCCCTTGTTCTCCAGCTCACTGATTCGATCCTCTGCTTCATCTAGCCTGCTTTGGCTTCTTTCTACTGTGTTCTTCAATTCAGATATTGTATTCATCATTTCCTCTTGTCTCTTATTGATAGTTTCTACGTCCTTTTTCATGCTGATATAGTTTGCAGTAAGTTCCTCTTAGTTTCTCTGCAGCTTTTTATAATTCTCTCTGAGGTCACTGAGCTCACTGAGCTTCCTTAGAACCATTGTTTGGAACTCAGTATCTGATAGTTTACTTGTCTCTATTTCATTTAGTTCTCTTTCTGAAGATTCCTCTTTTCCCTTCCAGTAGGGGGTATTTCTTTGTCTTCCCATTATTTGTGAGGCTCTCTCTTTCACTTCTGATTCTTAAGCTGATCTGTTTTGATTTCCTGACTTTGTGGTGTGAACTTCTATGGCTGGAGACTGATGTTTTTACTTTCTGGATCTGCCCCTTATGATGTCAGGTGTTGACCCTGTCTGACCTTAGGCAGTCTTTTTGAGACTTCCAGTAATCTACTCTTCATGGCTGTCTCCTTCAGTTGTTAATTTATTCACTCTGCACTCTGCAGGCCGCCTTAGACAGTTTGGGGTGGGGTGGAGTCCCTGCTGGGGGTGGGGTTATTAGGTCCTCTCACGCTGCTGCCTTATGGGGGAGGAGTCCGCACTGGGATCCCACCAGCTATTCTTTCTGTTTTCTCCCCAAAGCCTCCATCTCCAGTCTCTCCTCAAGTGTCACCAGACCTTTCTGCGTCCCCTTTAGCCAGGGATCTACTGTCTGTGGCTGCCACTCTGCACTCAGCAGACAGCTTAGACAGCACGTGGCAGGGTGGAATCCCACCTTGGGGCAGGGCTTTTGGGTCCTTTGATGCAGTTATCACTCAGGGGAGTGGTGTCTGCCTGAGCAAGATGGCTGCTGCCACATGGGGAATGAGTCAGCACCGAGATCACGCAGGCTACTCTCAATTTTCTCTCCAAAGCCTCCTTCCCCAGTCTCTCCTCAGGTGTCTTTAGACCACTCTTCCCCCACCTTTGCCAGAGACCAGGGTATGTGGTTGCAAATAAAAATTTATGTGTTGGCCCTTTAAACAGTTCTTTGCATCTCCAGCCACCTGTCTCTGATAGACAGCAACCCTGACGCTTTTTGCAGCTAGTTGTTTTCTCTGTACTTTTTGGGCTTTGGTGCTGTAGGCTAGAGATCCCCACTTTTGGTTTAGACCCCGCTCTTGTCAGGGAGATCCAAATTGCTGTTTCAATATCCTTTTGGTGCTGCTTGCCCGTGGGTGCCCTGCCCACCTTCTCAGGTCAACACCACACTCCTTACCAGTTAGATTGCATTAAAGCTGATTCTTCAGTCTCTGAGGTTACAAGGTTCCTCTCTCGCTATTGTTCAGGTGTTTGTTACAGGTGATTTCTCCCCAATTTAGTTGTAATTCCAGGTTGATGTTGGGAGGAGGTCAATGCGACTTCCAGTTACTCCTGCACCATCTTGATTCTCCCCTACTTTTATTATTTTAAAACCAAAAACTGCTCACTTTTCTTTATGTAGGATTTACACACACACACACACGCACACACCCACACACACACACACAGTATTCCAGAATGTGGTGACATTGTAACAGCTGGAGGAGGGGATCAATCACCCAGAAGGCACTGTAGTCATAGAGGACACAGCTACTGATAGAACAGTGACAACACTGGGGTACATGGGTATGTGGAGGGGTAGAATGTCCTAACTCCTCTCTTCTATTGTTTTCCAATTTCCTCAAATCTCTGGCTAGTGCCTCTCATTGGCCAAACACCATTTTAAATTTGTTGACAAGAAAACTCAACTGGCCTATGATCCAGAGAGTCACAAAATAAAGAAGGTAAGAGCAAGAAATAGATTCAGGGATTGGAATTTAAAAATAACCAATAGAGCAGAGTGATGTCAGAGAAGGTAAAGGAGTAGGAAGTGCCAGAATTCCATCACTCTCTCCACCTACAGAACAAACAAACTGACAGAAACAATATGAAGTAACTACTTTGGAATTCTGGAGTTTATTTGAACTCCTACATCTTCCAGGAAAAAATCTTGGCTAATAAGTTAACACTAACTTCAGATTTATCTGTGAGTACAGTGGTGACTCCCCAGTGCTCACTCCCCAGATCTGTGGCAGGCAGCTAGAGGGATTACAACCTACATTTATGGTGCCACCTGATGGATCCAGCATCGGCAATAAGGACATTCTCTGAATATCTGGGTCTGTGTTCTGATTGTATTGCTGACTTAGACTACTGTGTGGTGGGCACAGAAGCTGGATGCCATTGTTTCAATCCCCACAGACCAAAGTGGTTTCTAGATTTAAAGGAGCTATAGCTGCTTGATCAGTTGTTTGTTTTTGATATTCAGAACTAACTGTGAATATAGGAGGACTTAGAAAGCTATCATCTATGCTCAGATATTTAAAAAGTACCTGAGAAAACCAAGTTTTTACCTCATTCTCATCTCTGGCACACAAGATACACTAAAATAATAATAAATAATAATAATAAAAATAAAACAGCAGCAACTAAAACAATACAACTGTAAATCCTGGGGTAAGGGGAGAAACTGACTTCTACAGTTACTCTAAAATTAAAATATCCAGTTTTCAACAAACAATCACAATACACATGAGGAAGCAGAAAAGCATAAGGCCTTCAAAGGAACAAAAGAAAAAGAAAAATATTATCTACCAGGAAGCCCAGATGGCAGACTTATTAATTAAGATTTTAAATAACTATCTTAAAGATGCTCAAAAGGCTAAAGGAAGACAGGAATACAATATATGAACAAAGTAAGAATATCAATAAAGAGATGAAAATTATGAAAAGAAACCAAAAAGAAATTCTGGAGTTGAAAAGTATAACTAAGTGGAATAGAAAAACAAGTATGAAAAATCAGTGAAACTAAAACTTGGTTCTTCAAAAAAAATCAACAAAACTGACAAACCTTTAGCTAAACTGACAAAGATGAAAAGAAAAAGTATTCAAATAAATAAAATCAGAAGTGAAAGAGGGGACATTACTTCTATACTTATAGAAATATAAAAGATTATAAAAGAGTACCCTACTATAAATAATTGTTAACACAAACAAGTGGATAACTTAGATGGAGTAGACACATTCTTAGAAACACAATGTAAGAAGACTAAATCATGAAGATATAGAAATTCAAAAATAAACTATAGCAGAAGAAAATTAAATTACTAATAAAAAATATCATTACTATAAAAGCTCTGGACCAGATGCCTTCATTGATGAATTTCAGCAAACATTTAAAGAAGAATTAACACCAACCCTTCTAAAATCTTTGAAAAATAATGGAGAGAATAGAACAGTTCCTAACATTCTACAAGGCCAGAATTACTCTGATACTAAAACTCAGTAAAGAAAGCACAAGAAAAAACTGCACAGTAATATCCCTGATGAATGTGGATGTAAAATTCTCAACAAAGTAATACTGAATGGAATATTAAAAGGGTATTTACCAAGTAAGAGTTTTTCCAATAACATGTGTCTCAACATAAGAAAATCAATCCATGTGATACATCATATTAATAAATGAAGGGGGGGAAACATAAACTCAAATGGTACATGAATTATATATGACAAAATCCAACATCTGTTCATGATAAAAACTTTCAGAAAACTAGGAATAAAGAAACTATTTCTCAGCATGACAAAAGGTATTTATGAAAAACTTCATGGTGAAAGGCTGAAAAATTTCCCACTGAGATCAGAAAAAATACAAGGGTAACAGCTTTCATTGCTGCTATTTAACATCATAGTAGAAGTTCTAGACTGAGCTATCAAACAAAAAAATAAATAAATAAACATACAAACATCCAAATTGTAATTGAAGAGGTAAAATTATCTCCATTCACAGATGACGTATTCTACATATAAGAAATTCCAAAGAATTCAGAAAAAATCTACTAGACTAATAAGGAAATTCAGCAAATTTTCAAGGTAGAAGATCAACACACACAAAAGTTAGTTGTTTCTATACACCAACAATCAATATTTGAAAAGAAAATTAGAAAAGCAATTTTATTTACAATAACACTTACAATATATACTTAGAAATAAATCTAACAAAGGAGTTGAAACATTTATAAAGTGAAAACTATAAAACATTTTATGAAAGAAATTAAGGAAGATCTAAATAAGTAAAAATATAACCAATTTTCATAACAATATTGTTAAGATGTTGATACTACCCAAAGTGATACAAAGATGCAATGTAATCTTTATCAAAATTCCAACAGCCTTTTTTTTTAGAAATAGAAAAGACAACCCTCAAATCATATGGCATTAAAAGAAACCCAAATAGCCCAAGCTGTTTTGAAAAAGAATAAAGTTGGAGGATTGATACTTTTTAACTTTGAAGTGTACTACAAAGCTATATGAACTAATACAATATGGTACTGGCATAAGGATTGACTTATAGATCAATGGAATATAATAGAGCATCCAGAAATAATGCCTCATTTCTATGGTCAATTGATTTTCAACAAGGGTGCCAAGACTATTGAAAAGGGGGAAAAAGTCAAAAAATGGTGTTGGGAAAATGGGGTAGACACATGCAAAAGGATAAAGTTGGACCCTTACTTTACATCATATGTAAAATTAACTCAAAGTGACTCAAAGAGCTAAAATGGTAAAACTCTTAGTATAAAAAAACCTTGGAAAAAATCTTCATAACATTAAATTTGGAAACAACTTCATGGAATGTTACCAGAAAACCAGACAATAAAAGAAAAATATAGATGAAGTGGACTTCTCATAATTAAGAACTTTTTTGCCTTAATGAATACAATCAATAAAGTAAAAAGATAACATTTAATGAAACAAAATGGTGACATGTCTTATATCTGATAAGGAACTAATGTTCAGAGTAAACACTTCTAAAACTCAACAATACTTGCATTGTTTGCCTGTTGAATATGATGCTGGCAGTGGATTTGTCACATATGGTCTTTATTATGTGTAAATATGTTCCCTCTATTCTCTCTTTTGCTAATAGTTTTTACCATAAATGGGTGCTGGATTCTATCAAAGGCTTTTTCTGCATCTATTGATATGGTCGTGTGGTTTTTATCCTTTATTTTGTTTATATGGTGAGTCGCATTTATTGATTAGCAAATGTACCAAACTTGTATTCCCATAATAAATCTTACGTGATCGTGGTGTATGATCTTTTTGATGCATTGCTGTATTTGGCTTCCTAAAATTTTGTTGAGGATTTTAGCATCTATGTTTATCTGGGATATTGGCTTATAATACTCAGAGAAATGCAAATTAAACCCACAGTGTAATATCACATCACACCTGTCAGGATGGCTGTCATCAATACATCAACAAACAAGTACCGGTGAGGAAGTGGAGAAAGGGGAACCCTTTTGCACCATTGGTGGGAATGCAGACTGGTCCAGCCAATGTGGAAAGCAGCATGGAGAGACCTCAAAAAATTAAAAATGGATCTGCCTTTTGACCCAGCAATCCCATTTCTGGGAATATATCCGAAGGAACCCAAGACACTAATTTGAAAGAACAGAAGCACCCCTATGTTCATTGCAGCATCGTTTATAATCGCCAAGATATGGAAGCAGCCCAAGTGTCCATCAGTAGATGAGTGGATAAAACAACTATGAGACATTTTCACAGTGGAATACTACCTGGCCATAAAAAAGAAGAAAATTTTACCTTTTGTGACAGTGTGGATGGACCTGGAGAACGTTATACTAAATGGAACAAGACAATCAGAAAAAGACAAATACCAAATGATTTCATCCATATGTGGAATCTAATAAACTGAACTAACAAGCAAATTAAATACAGAGTCATAGATAAAAGGCAGGAGGAGAGCTAAGGCGGGTGGTGGTTCAGGGAAGGGGGAACTGAGCAAAAAGGAAAAAGGGTTCAGACATAAACAATAGTGGAGTGATTGCTTGGGGGATGGGAGTTTAAGGGGACTAAATGGTAATGGAAAATACAACAAAAAAATTAAAAAACTCAGCAACAAAAGCACAAACGACCCAATTCAAAATTAGGCAAAAGATTTGAATAGTCACTTCTCTAAAGGTAGTATACAAATGTCCATCTGTTAGGGAAGTTTGAGTCAAAAGAACAATGAGATACCACTGCACACCCACTAGGTAGGCTATCAGAAACACACACACATGCATACATAATTATAGGTATTGAGAAGGATCTGGTGAAATCAGTAATCTGTGCATTACTGGTGGAAATGTACAGTAGTGCAGCCAGTGTGGAAAACAGATTGGCACTTTTTCAAAATGTTATACTATTATATAACCCATCAATATACACTCTTAGGTATATATCCAAAAGAACTGAAAGCAGGGATTTGAACAGATATTTGAATATAATTGTTCACAGCAGCATTAACCACAATAGCTAAAATGCGGAAACTGGATTGTTTAGTAGGAAAATTGATCTTGGTATTGGATTATGCACCTACATAAGTAATTTATCCTTATGATTATAATCGTAATTTAGATATAGTCCAATTTTTTTAAGAAAAATCTGAACACAGGAAATAATGCATTCGGTCAAAATCAAAGCATTGCTGCTGGTATATATTAATATTGTGGATAATGACGAATACATTGCCACTGGAAAATCCAAAATGAAACAACAACAACAAAAAAACACACAATAGCTAAAATGTGAAAACTGGAGAATGGACACTTGGATTACAGTCCATCAACAAATGAATGAATAAACAAAATACAGTATATACTTATTATGGAATATTATTCTGTTGTAAAAATGAATAAAATTTTGATATATGAATGGGCCTTAAAAACATTATGTTTATTGAAATAAGTCAGACACAGAAGAGCAACAAACACTATATGATTCCACTTTTCTGTACCTAAAATATGCAAATTCATAGAAAAAGCAGAATAAATGTTACCCAAGATTAAGAGATGAGATAAAGTGAGTTGTTACAGAGATGTTGGAGGTGATGAAAAATTTTCTATATAGATAATTGTGATATTGATAGAACACTATGAATGTTTTAATGCCACTCTATACCTATGAATGTTTAAAATGATAATTACTATATTATATATACTGTGACATATTTGCTAGAGTTATTCTAGTAACTATGACACTAACAGCAACGACAGCAAAATAGCAATAATAATGGCCACTCTGAGATCTATATATTGGTAACTATAAAGTGCTAGGCAATTGTCATTTATTTTTTCTATTCCTCAAAGCATCAGTGGTAGAAAGTGGTATTATGTACTTAAGTTTAAAGGTTTACCATGGACAAAGCCAAAGTAGGGAAGGATTGAGGGAGGGAGGTCAGGGAGGGGGGCAGAGGAAAGTGGTGGAGGGAAGGTAGAGACAAATGTATTTGAACAAAAAATAAAAATTTAAAAAAAAGTTTAAAAGTTTACTATCTTTCAGGAGATGGAGTCAGCGCTGGAGGCATTTGCTGCGCGCCCAGAGCACAAGGATTCAGACAGCACATTCTTGGTGTTCATGTCTCACGGCATCCTGGACAGAATCTGTGGGACTCTGCATAATCATGAAAAACCAGATGTGCTACATTATGACACCATATTCCAGATTTTCAATAATCGAAACTGCTGCCACCTTAAGGATAAGCCCAAGGTCATCATCATTCAGGCCTGCAGAGGTGGTGAGTACTGATGGTGTCTACAGATCAGGGAATCATGTATCATGCAAGGTTTTTACTGGGTGTTTTATGTCTAGTGAAAATAACCTTGTGCTTCACTTCTGTATGATTATACTGCATATATTTCTTTGGAGAGACTACCTAGTGATGACAATAGAGAAACTGATAAATAAATATAAATGTCATCCACTGTCAGTGATCCGTAGCAAATGATAATGATATTAATGTTAACTCTAAATTATTTATATGTGGAAATTTTAAAATTGTGGCATAAAATGACATTAATTTCAACATTTGTTAATCAAAATTTTAGGATCTCTGACCTGAGAAGTATTTTACAAGATAGTGAGGGATTAAAATATAATACAATGCTAAGTAAGTAAAAGAATCTAGACCCCAAATTTTACATATTATATAATTCCATTTATATAGCATAAGAAAATGGCAAAGAATAGGGAGAAAATCAGGTCAATAGATGTCTGGGGTGAAGGATGGAAGAGCTATTATTGATTGCCATGGTAATTTCATGACTATATAGTTATCAAAAGCAGTCAAACTGCACACTTAAAAAGTGAATTTTACTGTATGTAAATTATACTTCAATGAACAAAAACAGATAATTATGGCATTGCTTTCTCCCATAGATATTTTACCTCACATTTTAATGTAATTATATCACTTGCGGAATGGCTTAGGAGGGAAAAACAATGGGGAAGGAAAAAATTGTTTTAGAATCTTGTGTCTGTTGTTGAATTGAGCAGATATTTCCTTCCTTGACTTTGCGATGTTATTTTATTATCATTAAACCAAAAACTGATTCCTTTACTTAGAAACCGTCAATAGTAGTTTATATTATTCTCCCTGATCAATAGGCATGTTCCAGGTCTAGATGATAGTTGCTATTCATTGACACCCTGTTAGATGTGAGGAGGTGGGTGTGGGTAGGATGGGGGAGAGTAATAGGGGGGGAATGGGGACAACTACAATTGCACAACAATAAAAAAAGGAAAAAAATACAATACATGGATTATCATTTAAGCTAAAAAATAGAGCAAAAAGATTATGTGAGTAGAGATAACATTGTGTTAGGCCTATGCTGTGTATGCACAATTAATTGGAACTCCTTCATTAAGAGCATCCTATTTATTAAGTTGTCAAAAGATTGCTAAAATGGGTTTAGCTGTGAAAAACATAACAGGATGATGTCCCCTCAGCAAACAGTGGAGAGGTGTGGGTCAGCGACTCGCCAGCGGCCCCAGCAGACAGCTCTGCACAGTCTCCAGAGGACCTGAAGGATGATGGCGTCCACAAGACCCACGTGGAGAAGGATTTCGTTGCTTTCTGCTCCTCGACCCCACGTATGTGTCTTTCATTTGTAGGCAAGGTTTTGTGGGAATAAGGCCTGTCTGCATTTGTAATTTGGCTCAGTATTCCAGGGAAGAACATATGCTAAAGGTTTTGGGAAGGCATTTATATAGGAAGGAAAAGCCCATCCAACTTTCTGAAGCCTTCTTTACAGCTTTCTCTGGTCATCCAGTCTCTCTCAGGTTCTACCTCCATCCAGATGCCAGTCTTGCATATCCTCTAAGTGACCAGTAAGGCACACAGCAGTACTGGTTTAATGAGTCTTATTACACAAAATAACATTGTTTCCATGGCTGAGAAAAATTTTAAAAGAAAAAGTGGATCTATGTTCCTCTGAAGAAAGCATATTTTCTGGTTTGGAAAATAAGAAATCTAGTTATAAAATACTGTTAAAAGATAATCAAGTAATTAGTAACATCTGGTAAAGTGACATTACAACCTGGTGGTAGTAAAGAGTTTTAGAGAATCAATTCCAAAATGAGCATATTTAAGTTTATGTAATTTGAAAAAGAAGATAGTATAGTAGTGAGAATTTCTAAGCCTGGACTAAAGCAGATAGAGCTTCTGAGATGCTGAATGTGTGTATGTGGACAAAATCAGGTTTACAGTTTAAGTACATGAACAGAGTTTATTCTTGTATTATTCTTTATTACTTCTTATATTAATTATGTGTATTATAGCTATAAATCTGTGTGTGTGTGTGTGTGTGTGTGGTCTCTAACATATCTCTATCAGCTAAATACTATTATATCATTCACCCAGATAAGGAAACTAAAGCACACAAAAAAATTGTATAAATTGCCTGAATAAACAATGGCAGTATGTAAACATGAATATAAGTCAGTTTGACTATGAAGTTTAATCTGTTTTAAATAACCCAACAAAAACAACAAAGAAGATATATTACTTAAACATTTGGACCACTTCAAAGTCAGAAACATGTAGGCTTTTATGTCCAAGAATGGGCTAGGAATTGAACCAACCAGTCTTAACTAAGAGAGAGCGCCCTCAGGGTTATCTGCTGGCTGCCTTGCTATCTGAAAAGAGCATTAATGGTGCAGCTTTGAAGCATCTTCTGTGCTAGACAGACATGGATTCAATAGCTGCTCCATCAATTTGTATCTGTTAGGCCTGAAAAAAAATTTAAGGTTAAGTGAGAGAGTATTTGCTAGAAAATATGATCTATAGAATCAGTTTAAACACATCAGTTTTAGATTTTGAACCATAGGACTATGATTCTAGAATTCTATTCTCTCATCTGAGATACTGTTAACCCATATATATTGTCTTTTATGGTTCAATCTAAGTCCACCATGTTCCTTTGTATATGAAGCCAGGCACAGAATTCTAAGTCTTTATTTTTTCTACATGTTTAAGTCTGTCTAGAGATATTTGAAATCTATTACCTTTTTGTAAGGATGAAAGCTGTAACTCAAAAGTTATCATTTCCTTTATGCACAGATAATGTTTCCTGGAGAAGAGAAAGTGGTTCTCTCTTCATCACACAACTCATAAACTGTGTTAAAAAATATTCTTGGTATTGTCACCTGACAGAAATATTTGTGATGGTAAGTAGCATATTATCTAGTAAATTATTTATTTATTCATAGAAATAAAAAATGTATATGATACTCCACCTGGACATTTTACATAAATTATAGAATATTATTTACACTGTAGCACACCTTCCTTTTCCATTTTTTCCAAAATACTAAGCTCTAGTAGGCGAAAAAACTAATATATGCTCAAATATTTCTGTACTCAAAAAGTTTCTGTACTCAAATATTAAAAATCTGGGAGATAAAGAAGTGATAAAAAGGATTATTGAATACAGAATACTATAGAACAAATATGGCCTATGAGGATAACATGCAGTATGGAATAATATTTACTTAAATATTTAAATTATAGAAAATTTTGGTATAAAATATGTATTTGTTAAATATTTGTTGGTTTTCTTTTTTTAATCCTCACCCACAGACATTTTTTTCCATTGATTTTAGGGACAGAGGAAAGGAGTGATAGAAAGAGAGAGAGAGAGAGAAACATTGATGTGAGAGACATCAATTGGTTGCTTCCTGTAGGCACCCCAACCAGGGGGATGGAATCTGCAACCTAAATATGTGCTCTGACCAGAGATGGAACAAAATATCTTCCAGTTGTCAGGATGACACTCCAACCAACTGAGCCACACTGGCCAGACCTATCGTTTTCTTATAAATGAGAAGTAGGGCTGCCTGGTACAGGTAAAACCATTAAAACAAAAAAGCAGACACAGTCCTGCTTTCATAGCTAATATTCTGAAGGGAGATATAAGTAGTAAAAACCACATTATTCAAAATATTTCATCTCCAATTTCTAGGGAAAAGAATAACAGGATTCCCTGAGACAGAATAGGGGAAATGTTCTGTTACATATTGTCATCATCTATAAAGTTGAAACTTGATATAATAGGGCAATTTGTGTGTGTTTTGGACTGGCATTAAAAGTATTAATGGGTGATTGGAAGAGAGAGGTCATGGAATTGGAAATTAGTAAAAAACAAACAAACAAAAAAAAGAAGTAAGGCCATAGGGGCATTATTTGGGTTGGGTGCTTCCACATCTTGGTTGTTTTAAACAATTCTAGGTGCCCATTGATAGAAGAATGGACAAAGAGAATGTGGCACATATATACAATGGACTAGTAGCCATAAATAATAATGAAGCCTTGACATTTGTAACAACATAAATGATCCTCCAAGTTATTATGCTAAGTAAAATAAGTCAGAGAGAGAAAAACACATATATGTGATTTTACTTACACATGGAATCTAAAATAAAGCAAAATAAACCAAACAAAACAGAAGCAAACTCATACAACAAATTGATTCCTGCCAGATGGGAAGGGAGTGGGGGAATGGGCAGAAAAGGTGAAGGGGATTAAGAAGCATAAACCACCAGTTAACAAAGTTAGGCATAAAGATGTTAGTACAGCATAGAGAATATAGTTAACAATATTGTAAAAATTATATATGGTGCCAGAAGTATAGTAGATTTGTGGTGATCACTTCATCAGGTATACAAATGTCTAATCAGTATTTGTACACCTGAAACTAATATAATATTGTATGTCAATTATAATTTAAAGTTAAACTTTAAAAAAGAATTTGGGGAAAGTCAAGGAACATATAGCAAGGACTCATGGACAAAACCAAGGGGGAAGAGCTGAGGGAGGGAAGGTGGGAGGGGGCAAGGGAAAGAGGTGGGGGGAAGGCAGAGACAAATGTATTTAAAAAGTAAATAAATTAATTAAAAAAATAATAAAAAAAAGAATTTGGGATGGGAATCTCAGAAAACTGAAATGATCAGTTCTTGGTGAGGAATGAACAAAAAAATGTCTTCAAGTTTAAGGTATTCAGGGCATAAACTCTGACGCGAAAATTTATGGTTAAAATATAATAGCTAGAGACCTTTGCTTTTAGCAAAGATGACCTAACAGAGACTAGATTTCGATTCCTGTCTAAAACAAACAAACAAAGCACCGAAACAAAATATATGCAGCAACAGTTTTTAATACACTAGAAATCAGGCAAAGAGGAAAACTGATTTCTGAGAAATGGTAAACAAACAGCAGTGAGACTTAAAATTATGTCTGCTTACTATTTTGATAGAGTTTCCAGGCTATTGCACAGGGAGGCAGAGGAAGACAGAACCTGGTGGACTCACACAGTTGAAGAGACAGAGCTGATAGTCCAGGGAGAACAAGGTGGTTAGAGTTCACAGGACAAAATACCAAAGAAGAGAGACCTATGCATGGAGAGAACTCTGGAGATTCTTCAGAGGGTCCCCAAGAATTATTTAGAAGAGTATGTTTGGTATATCTGTGTGTGTCAGGAAACTACTGAGTTAGGGGAAAAATAAACCTACCCTAATGGATTAGAGGGGAAAATATTACGGTGCTCATACAAAGCCTGAGATAGCACCTACTGCCACCAGCCATATTGGAAAAATATTATGCTTAGCATGCAGTCACCTCAAGAAGGTCTTATCTAAGTTGTCAGGAATAAAGAAGTCTGAAATAAATAATTCTCTGATCCTTCCCAATACATCTAAAACCAATACTCAAGACGACTGAACTGTTCCCAAGTAACACACTGAATCCAAGAACAAAGCCCGAGAATACATACAAAAATATTAGCACTTGAAAATATAATATTCAAAACATATGACATGAAATAAAAATTACCAGGTATGCAAAGAAACAAGGAAAATAAAACTCACTGTCAGCAGAGAATCAAAACTGAATCATAACTGGCAGTTATAAAGATGAACAAAAAAAAGACAATAGGTAGTATTCCATATGTCCCACGGGTTAAGTAGGAACATGGAATATAATAAAAGATCTAAATTGTACTTTGAGAAAGCAAAACTAGAATGTGTAAGCTAAAAATACTCTGAATAGTATTAATAGCAGATAAGATATTGTAAAAAAAAATAAAAACAAATAACAGACTTGAAATGATACAAGGTGAAGCACAGCAAACAACAAAGATACAATAAAAATAAACAAAGCATCAATAAACTGTGAGATCAATTGCAAAGGCCTAAAATACATTTACATTGTATCTTAAATGGGAAGGAACAAAATAACATTTGAAGTAAAAATAGCCAAATTTTCTCCAACTTTAATGAAGTCTATAAACCTATAGATTTAAGAAGGATAATGAATGCCATGTTAAAAATGTAGAAGAAATACAACAGGTCTATATTAGTCTAAATTTTCTATACCACTGGTAAATATATTCTTAAAAGTAAAGAGAGTAGAAGAGACAAGCTACATACAGAGAAACAAAGTAAATAATGCAGCAGATTATCAGAAATACTTTGTGCTAGAAAATGGTAGTGAAAGAGAAAAGAAGATCATCCTAAAATTCTAAGTTCATAAAAATATAAAATTATTTTTATAAACAAAGGCAAAGCAAAGACTTTTCAGCCACACTGGAGCTGAAATATTCCAACACCAACAGATGGACACTACAAGAAATGTCGATGGAAGTCAGTCAGCAGAAAAAAAGTGACACCATATGGAAAAATAGAGTTATAAAAAGAAATAAAAACACTGAAAATAGTATGTACATGAACAAATATACATATGTTTCCCTTTAAAAAATTCTTTAAAAGAAAATTTAATGGTTTAAAGAAAAAGAATAACACTTGTTAGATTATGACAAGTTAAATTTATATATTATAAACCTTAAGTAAGAAAATTAAAGATGATAGCTAATAATCTAAAAAAGGACATAAAACAAAAATCGTAAGATACTCAACCAAAGAGACAGTAGAAAAGAGAAAAAAGAAAAAGCATAACAGATAATACATATTTTTAAAGGTAGCAAAATTTAAACCTAAACTTATTAATAATTATATTAAATGTAAATGGTCTAAACATACCAATTAAATGTTAGACATAATGAGACTGCATAAAAAAAAGAGCAAGACAAATATATGCTCCCTACATCAAACATACTTTATAAATAATGAAACAAAGAGGCTAGAAGTACACTGATGGGAAGGATACTATGTTAACACTGATCAACAAAAAACTGGAATAGATTATTAGACTCAAATATAAAGTAATCTTCATATCAGAGAATATTAGCAGAATAAAAATGGGTATAAGGTTAACGAGATCAATTCATGGAACAAACATAATAATTCTAAATATTTAGGCACTTAAAACAATTTTAATATATGTAAAGCAAAAATGGATGGAACTGTATAGAGATATTTTATTATGCTCCTTTGAATAATTGATGAAAGAAGGGCACAAAAATCTGAAGAAGATAGAGAAGACACAAACTTGACCCAGTTGGTATGTATAGAGCATTCCAATCAACAATAGTAGAATGTGTAATTATTTCAATTGCATGGTGGAATATTTACCATAAATAAACCATACTTTGGACCATAGAACAAGTCTCAGTGACTTTAAAATGTTTCCAGTCATACAGAATATGTTCTCTAAACAATATAAAAACAGATTAGAAGTCAATACTGGGAAGATCTCTAGAAAATCCACAAATATCTTAAATTTTTAGCAGACACTTCACATACACACAAAAGTCAAAAATAACTGTGTGTAAAGATGGTCATAAGTCATGAGAAAAAAAGCAAATTAAAACTAAAATGATTAAAAATAAATACCCTTTTAATGGATAAATTAAAAAGAGTGAACACACTGAGTGCTGGAGTGTTTGTGTGGGAACTGGAACTTGCATGAACTGCTGGTGGGAAGGTAAAATGGCACATTTATTCTGGAAAATATTTCAAAAGGTTCTTAAATAGCTAATCATTCACCTACCATATAATCCAACCATTTCTTGTCTACATATTTACCCAAGAGAAATGAAAGTATATGGTAATATTCAAATACTTGAATGTGAGTATTTGTAAGAGCTATGTTTGTAATAGCTCAAAACTGGAAATAAATTAAATGTCCATCAACAGTTGAAAGGACAAATAATTAATGGTATATTGTGTTCATACAGTGGTATACTACTCAGCAATAAAAAAGAACAAACTATTAATGCATATCTCTTCCTGGGAGAATTAAAGAGTAATTATGCTGAGTAAAAGAGTAAAATAAAAAACTCTACCTACTGTATGATATTATTTATATGAAATCCTAAATAATACGAACTAATCTATATTGACAAATGTAGGTTATATAGCATTCATTACTTACTTGAAAATGGGAGCAGGGACATTTAAAGAGTAAGGTATTATAAAAGGCCATGGAAAAACTTCTGAAGATGATAGACATGTTTATTATATTAATTGTGGTGATGACTTACCAGTATACATATATGTCAAAAGTTGTCCAACTGTTCACTTTGAATACGTGCAATTTATTTTATGTCATATAATACTCTTCTTTTTTTTCAAATCTGGGGACCAGAAAGAGAACTAATTGGATAACTGAGGATGATGGTGGGGGTAATGGACTTGCAGATTGCCTCCTTCTTGCCGTATCCTCCCACATGACCTTCTCTGTGTGCACCCACATTCCTTGTGTCTCCTTATGTCCAAATTTCTTCTTCTTATAGAAGACATTAGTCATATTGGATATGAAATACTGTAATGGTCTCATTGCAACTTAATCACCACTTGAAAGACCCTGTATTCAAGTACATTCAGATTCTGAAGTATGAGGAGTTGTGGCTTCAACATATGTAATTTGGGGAAACACAAAACGTAGAAGTCAATACTGGGAAGATCTCTGGATCTTGAATTTAGTGAAAGTTTATTGGAAGGTAAATTTTAGGTTCCAACTTAGGGTCTCAGGTTACGGGTATGAATGGGGAGTTGACAGCATGATCAAGCACTCAGTTCCATCTTAGGATTGTTACAGATATTTGACATCTCCGCAAATATATTCATCCCATCCATCCTCATAATGGTGAGTGGTGTAATGGGTTCTGTGCTTCTGCCCAAGGGACTGGACCTAAAACTTTCATTTTATTTTCAGGTTCAGCGATCATTTGAAGAACCAGTTGTTAAAGCCCAGATGCCTACACTTGAAAGACAAACTATGACCAGGTATTTTTACCTCTTTCCAGGCCATTAAAAATAGTATCTAGAGCAAATGAGAAAATTGCCCAAAGCAGTGAACGAAGTGGTGACAGGATATACACAAATAAACCATACAATACTTAGTGTTTGTTGTGTTACTCTTGCCTTCTAATATCTATCAAAAATAAAATATCATCTCTAGGTCATGGTCTGGGAACTGGCATTGTGTTTCTGCCACAAATAATGCAAGAACTAGGCAAAAAACTTCAAACAGGTGTTTTCAGGTATTGGGCAATGAGAAGTTCAGGATTGCTTTTGCTAGAGAAGGAAAACACATAAGGTAAACCATAAAATTATGCCTATACCATACCTTTTTATATTAGAACAAAATTTCTGTTACAAAGTACAAGAAGGGAAAACAAACAAAATACGGCAGTATCAATGAGTTGAGAAGACAGAGTTCAATTTCAGGTAGGTTGAGGCAGCTGAAATGTGAAAAATTAAATTCCAGAGGGGAGGGAGATAAGCAGAGAAAGACCTTCAAAAAGTTACGGAGTGGTCTTCTTGAGTCTCTGAATGAATACCTCTATCTACTTTTATAGAATGATCAGGAACCCACTGCTCAGGAATTATAGCATGAATAATCCACATGATTCACACAGCATTGATAGGTGTTTAAATTTTAACCATGCCAAACGGACAGGGCTCAGTGAAGTGAACACTCAAAACAATAAGTAGAGTTACCACAGTGGTCATCCCTTTGTAATTGGACTAAAAAATCCTGAAATAAAAGCTATGCTATACCTTCCTTAGCAATGTTTTAAAAACAAAGCCTTGAAATGTTGAAAGTGATACACAAATAAACATGTTCTGCCAAAACAAGAGTCAATACAAATCTTTAACTCCAAACACTCAAATATGTAATATTTTCAATGTGTATCTGGCAACATATCTAAAACCACTGCACATTTAAAGAATCATCAAAGTGTTACTTGATACCATGGAAGAGTTATTAAGTATAAATTGACCAAAATGATAAAATTAGAGAAAGACTTTAAAAGAGTATTAAAAGTGGGTTTGGTAGTGTTAAGAAAACCATAACCATAAAAAGAGAGAATGAAATATGTTGAAAAAATCCAAATTGAATCTGAAGTGCTTAAAAAGGTAATAAATGAAGTGAAAATTTATTGGATGTAGTTAACTATACATTAAAAAATGTAGAAAAATAAACAGAACTTAAAGTCTTAGCAATAGAAACTAGTCAAACTATAACAAAGAGAAGAAAAAAGAGAAAAAAATATACAGAGTATCAGTAATCTGTGGGATAATAAAAAGTGATCTAACAAATATCCATATAATTGAATCCTTCAAATATTCAAAGAAATAATGGCCAGGATATTTTCAAAATTATTAAAAATAACTAACAGAACTAAAAATTTAAATTAATCAAATTTAAAATTCCAGTGACTTTTTTTAAGCCACAGGAACAGGACAAATTACCTATAGGGGAACAAAAAGTTTTTTTTTTAAATTACTACAAACTTATTGTCAGAAAAATTACAGCACAGAATACAGTGAAATATCAATTTTTAAAATGCTAAAAGGAAAATAAAATGATAACCTAGACTATTATTTCCAGCAACTGTCATTTAAAAATAAAGGTGAAATAAACTTACAAAGCCAAGTAAAATAAGAGATATTTTACTTACTCTTAGTAAAAATAATTTACGTACTCACAACTACAGTGAGTAAGTAAATAGACAAAGGAAATTTTTCAGGTGCAAGACAAATGACACCAGAAGGAGATTTATATCAGCAGAATGAGAAGCCCCATACTTTTAAAAGGATTTTTACTTTCATTTTTAAAAATTTATTTTAACGGTAATCATTTAAGTAAAACTGTAATGTACTGCAAGATCTATAACATTAAGAATTTAAATGCACAATAGCAATAATGCATGGGATGGGGAGAATGGAAGTATATTGTTACAAGCTACTTCTATGTAAGAATAGTATTTGAAGGTAAAAATGTAATAAATTAAAGGTGTATATTGTAAAATCTATAATGATGTCTAAGAAATATTTGTATAACTAATAACAGATAAAATAAGCACTAAAGAGAAATAATCAACAAGTCAAAGAAAGCAGAAAAAGGGACGGACGAGATATAGAAGACAACGAGCAACATGTCAGGTTCGAACTGAACTAATATAATTTAAATGTGTACAATATTTAAGTATAATTAATTATAATGTATCTATGCACTCTAAATAAAAGACACAGACTGTTAGAACAAATAAAAAAATCAAAACAATTCTATTCTGTCTAAAATGAATACACTTTAGATGTAGGGATGTTAAAGGACAGAAAAAGAGACACCATTCAAACCCATAGCACAGAACCCAAATATCACAGAGCACATAAGAAAAAAGGACAAATTGAGTTTTGTAAAATTAAGAACTTTCATTCCCCAAGATATCATTCAGAAAATTTAAAAATAGGCATTATCTTAGAAGAAAATATATGTATCTGAAACAGTTCTTGATCAAGGATATTTAAAGAATACTTACAACTCAATAAGAAAACAAACTACTTAGTGAAAAAAAATGGGCACATATAATTTGGACACTATAAGAAAGAATATACACAAATGGCCAAGAGGTGCATAAAGCAATTTTCAACAACTTTAATCATAAAAAAAATGTAAATTGAAGCCACAGTAAGATATTGCTATGGTAGCAAAAGCCTACAAGTTACCAAAATATCCACCACACAAATGGATAAACAGATTTTTGTATATTCATTTAGCATAGTGCTCCTCTGAAATAAACAGATATAAACAGGCTCTACATATATCCAAATAGAACTCTTTAAAACACTTAATTGATCAAAAGAACATTTATGTAAATAGTGCATACCATATGATTCTATTTATATGGAAAAAAGAAGAAAAAGAACTGGCAAAAAAAAAAATCCCTGGTGATAGGATTAGATCAGTGAGCTTGATAGGATGCAATCCCTGAGCTTGAGGTTAATATAATTGACTCCAATTTAACTTGTTAAGATAATGCAAATGTTCTGTAAGTAGACTTTGGGAGTACACACATTTAGCAAATCACACTGAACTTACATCTAAAATGGGTACATTTTACTGTGTGCAAATATACCACAATAAAATTAATTAAAAATAAACAAAGGTAAATATATCAAAGGTATTTTCTGTAATGCCAGGGAAAAGAGTTTAAATATGGATAATATACCAACTTTAAATAAGTATTAATTTATACATACTAACCCAAGAAAACACAAGCATATCATATCTATCACTAGGGATGGATCCTAATTTAAAAGATAGGATAAACTATAGTGAAACCACTTGTTTGGTTGACTAAGAGTGCAGATATTGATAACTAGGATTGATCTGCTCCTAGCATGAGGCACAATAGCAAATAGCCTTTACTTATGTTGACAGTGTTTTCATTGTATCACTGTCAAACATTATCACACAATGCAGCTCAAAGGCTATTAAATTTCATGCATAGACTTTTGGATGTGTCACTTTTTCAAGTACTTAAGCTAACACACCGAATGTTCTATGGTCAAAACCCTTCCAAATACTTGCCATAAGTATAGACTAAGACATTCACTCTTCTACGTCAATAAAGTTTATTATATTGAGCAATAGACATTTTAGTCCGTTTAAATGTTACAACACACTTCAAATTTCCATTCTAAAATAACTTTCACAACAAACAGCAAGTGCTGGTGAGGATGTTGAGAAATGGAACCCTTGTGCACTGTTGGTGGAAACACAGATTGGTGAAGCAACTGTGAAAAGGAGTATGGAGCTTCCTCAAATATTAAAAACGAAACTACTTTATGACCCAGTGATTCCACTTCTGGGAATATATCCAAAAAAACCCAAAACACTAATTTGAAAGAATATGTGCACCCTTGTGTTTATTGCAGTGTTATTCATAATAGCCAAGATTTGGAGGAAGCCCAAGTGCTCATCAATAGATGAGTAGATGAGCAGATGGTGCATTTACACAATGGAATACTACTAAGCTGTAAAAAAAAAAAAAAAAAAAAGGAAATTTTATCCTTTGCAACAGCATGGGGGGACCTGGAGAGCATTATTCTAAATGAAATAAGCCAGTCTGAGACCAACAAATACCTTATGATTTCACTCATATGTAGAATCTAATAAACAAACTAACAAAGAAAATAGAAACAGACTCACAGAGAACAGATTGACAGCTGTCAGAGGGGAAAGGGCTTGTGAGGCTGGGTGAAAAAGGTGAAGGGATTGAGCAAAAAAATAAAAAGTCATGGACATAGACAACATTATGGTGATCATCAGAGAGAAAGGGGGTTGAGGGGATGTAGAAGAGGGCATTAGGGAGATAAATGGTGATGACAGGAGACTTGAGGTGGTGAATACACAATATACAGAGGATGTAACACACCTGAAACCTATATAATTTTATTAACCAGCATTACTCTGATAAATTCAATAAAAAAGAAAAAAAGTAAAAGAGTTGTTAATTAAAAAATAAAAAATAAATAAAATGTAATCCATTTTATAAAAAATTAAGCCAATTTAGTTGAGAGAGTTTTTCAAGCCTTCTACATACTGAATTTCTAAATCCATGTTCCATAAATTATTGAAAGAAGACTGTTGAAATCTCCAATTACATCTTGGGATTTATTTGTTCCTCTCTTTAGTTCTAGTGGTGTCTGTTGCACATATTTTGAAGCTCTTATTAAGTGTGCATTCATTTTAGAGTGTTTTGTCCTTTTGATGATTTGACTCCTTTGTCATTAGTAAAAGCCCCTCTTCATTCCAAGTAACATTCCTTGTTCTAAAATCTACTTCACCTCATATGTAGCCTCTCCATCTTTCTGTTGATTAGTATCTACATAGCATATCTTTTTTCATTCTTTTACTATTAGTCTATTTGTGTTTTTATACTAATATTGGGTTTCTTTTAGACAGCATATACCCATATTTTGCAGCACATAATGGAAATAATTTTTGGCCTGAACTTTCAGAAAAAAAGCTATTGTTTTAATTTTTTAATTAATTACTATTTAGATATTT